CTCTGAGAAGGACTGATTCTACCACACCTTCTTCCCGTGACTTGCACAGCCCGCCCCGCCCTCTCTGAGCCTCAGTTTCCCCTGACCGGCCACTGCGGGGCCGCGTACAGCAGCCAGCTGCAACGCCGCGCCGCTTCCACGCGGGGGCAGTGTTGGCCTGGCTTTGGCACCGCCTGATGCGGCCGAAACTTCTCAGCCTCTAGCTGAGAGGGTCGGAAACTTTTCCCCCTCGTGCGCAGCTCGCGTCTTCCCGCCACCGACCCCCTGCTCCCGCCGCCGCCTGCCTTCCCGCCCCGCTCCGTGCCGCGCTGCGGGCCGCGAGGCCAGCTCCACACCTGCAGTGCCGCCTTCTTTCCACCTGCCCGGAGTTCGCGGTCGGAGCTGAAGGAGAGGGGACGCCCCGCCCCCAGCCCCCCAACTTCTGTTGTTTTCTTTTTTGCTGTTAAACCAAAAACTGCTAAGCTTGCGACAGCGCTGTCAGCAACGAGCACTGGAAATTGAGTCCCGTGTGGAGCAAGGTGGGGGGTGGAACGGGGAGACGTCTGGAAAAATCCTTGGCTGCGTTTCGAGGTCCCCCCCCCCCAGCCAGGCCGGGCGGGGGCGGCCTCCCACGATCTCTTAGCGCTTTCTCAGCGGGGCGGCCTCGGCGGGGGCGGGGGTCGCAGCTGGGACCTGCGGGAGAGGAGGGCCAGGAATGTCCACCCCAGCCCCTCCGGCGGAGACTCTGGCGGGGTGCCTGCGCCCCAGCGGCCGAGAGTGCGGCCTGAGCCCGCGGGGCGTGCGGAGCCGCCGCCTTCCTCTCGGCGTCCCTCCGTCTTCTCCTGTCTCCTGCCCTCTTAGCCCCTGCGGCCACCGTCCCTGCTCCCTGGCTCCTCCTCGCCCCCTTCCGTTATTTATTTTTTCGTCTGTTCTTTTCCCTTCCCAGTTATTCTTCCCTCTTTTCTTTCTGTTTCCCTCCTCGACAAACATGGATTCTGTGTCGTGAGAACCTTGAGAGTCAGCTCAGATCCTCGGATCCTGCCACTGGCTCACAGCACAAACACACACACTCAACACAGCCACATACAGCAGGCACGCACACAGGGACGCCAGAGAAACACACACCTCACAGACATGCACCACACACACACCACACAGACGCACAGACGCACTTCAGACAGACACAAACAGAACCCAGAGAAACACCTCACAGATAAACACCACACATGGACACACACGCACCACATGAACACACACACCACAGATACCCCCCCGAGACACCACACACACATTTCAAAGACCAAGGCACACAGAGACGCCAGAGAAACATACCACACGGACAGATAAACAGAGCACTTGGATACACACACACCACACAGACACCCCCCTTCAGCACACACACAGAAACACCACACACTCACAGACACCACGCACATACCCACCCACAGTTAGGGTCTCCAGCCCCCGCATTCTGGGGTCCTTCTGACCTGGAGGACACAGAAGCCCCCAGCCTGTTTGTTCACCATTAGTCCAACATGAGCCCCCTCCTGTGGACAGAGCCTGAACTTGGGGTGACCAAGAAGAGGCCAGGGGCAGAAGGATGTGCTGCAGTGAGGGGGTGGAGGCCTTTCCAGCTGTTCCTGGGTCAGCTTAATCTCACCCCTCCCTGGCTGGGACCCCAGGTCTCCCACAAGGGTTTCAAAAAGGGCCCTTTTTGTTGGTACATTTCCACTGGGACTGGCAGGCAGCCAGACTCTTCTGAGCTCCAGGGAGCAGCGTGGCTGGAAGGCTGGGAAGGTGGCCGCAGCTGGGGGCCCACACCCTGGTTCCTGCTCCCCTCAATCCCAGACCTCCCAGAGCCACTGGAGGGGACAAGGCGGGTGTAGTTGGCCCTTCTCCTGCCCCCTCTCCCCCTGCTCGGGGAGTGTGCCCTGGGCGCTCACTGCCCACCCCATTCCAACCCCACCCCACCCTTGGCCATGGCCAGACCCTGTGCCAAGCCAGGGCAAGGGGCAGTGGGAGCTGGGTTGCGGGGTGGCAGGGAGGGAGGAGTGAACCCTGACCCAGGGCAGAAGGCTGAGTTGGGAGAGGCAGGAGAATCATTGCTCCTTTTTCCTGAGCATTCCCCACTTCACCGGGGCCTCTCCACCCATTTACAGATAAATACATGGAGGCCCAAGGAGGTTGGGGGTCTTGCCCAGGCCATGTTAGCCACAGAAAGATGGAGCTGGGACTACGCCAGCACCCAGCCCCCAGCTGTGCACACAGGCCTTCTCTCATCAGCCACTCTTAGAACAACCACTGGGAAAGTTGAGGCCCAGAGAGGTTAAACTCTTTCTCAAGGTCACACAGTTATTAAGTGGTGGATCCAGGATTCAAACTCATCGAAGTGAGACACCAAGGGACAACCATGCCTTTGAGCAGGAGGAGCCCCATCTCCAGGAAAGCAGTGCTGGGGGAGGCTCCCTGTCCCCAGGGTGAGTGGGGTGGTCTAGGGGACCCTTCCTGCCCTAAGGGGTCCATCTTCCCACACAGCACCTCAGAGGCAGGGAGGATCAGGGCAAGGTCAGAAAGAATTTATTTGGAGAAGGGGGAATTTTGTGGGGGGGAAAGTGGGACAGCAGAAGCCAAGGGTCTGGTGGGCAGGAAGCCTCAGGGTTTCCTGGAAGGGGCGGGGAATGCTGGATCCATCTGTGGGGAGTGGTAAAGGCAGTGCTGACACCAGACGGTGATGGGGAGTCACTGAGGGATGTGGAGCCCAAGTGAAGCCCGCCTGAGTGGGGCTTCAGGGACATGAGCTGCCCCCATGAGCACGTTCACTTTCCTCCTGCAGGCCATTCACTGAGAACACGCCCAGCCCTGGGCACACAACGGGCACTAGAATGACCAGCCCTGCCCTCAGGAGCATATAGTCCAGTGGGGGTCATGGACTCAAATGGGCAATTGCACGACAGGATAACAGGTGCTGATGGGAGGTCCAGGACTTTAGGAGCACAGAGGAGGCACCCAGCCAACTCTGCAGGGGTGTGGGATGGACACCTGGCCCATCTGACAGCGGTGAAGTGGAGGTGTGGTCGGGCTGGACAGAGGAGGGGAAGCGCAGGAAGGGAGGTGGCTGCTTCAGTCCCTGCAGCAAGGCCACTGTCTCAGCTCTAGCAGTTCTAAGCCTGGACCAGGGGGAGGTGAGGGACACAGGAGGGCTGTTGACAAGGCAGGGAGAAAGGCCAGTTCTCCCCTGACCAAGACACAGACACATGCCTTGTGTCCCAGCCACATGGGACTGTTCACTGCCCATTCCAGTGCTCTGCCTTTGTCATGCTGTTTGTCCGACACCCCCATCCCCAAATAACCTCCCTCTTCCCTTTGTTTCTGCCTCTCTAGGTCCTTCCGTCATTCCCTCCTTCTTCTAAGTGACTGATGGCCTGCACCTTCCAGGGGTTCCTGTTAGAGGCTGCCGAAGCTCTCCATGGAGACATGCATGCCGCCACCTCCAGGAAGCCCCACAAGCCTCAACACTCCTCTGGAATAAGCTCCAGGAAAAGGGGAGACACAGGTGATGCTCATTGTACCATCTGGGCCCAGGGGAGCCAGCTTTGGCTGGGCCGGGTATCTCAGGGCTCTGGAACCCTCCTGAATGATGGGACTGGCACCTCAAGAGCAGCAGCCAGGAGCAATGCCCTCTGCCCTCCACACATCATGGAGCCTCAGGGACCCTTCATGATTTGCTCTCCAGGGTTTCCCCAGTTTATTGTCTGCACCTGGCAGCCCTGGTGGCTGTGGTGATGCCCCCAAGCACCCAGGCCTCCCAGGGAACCCCCTTCTTGGCTCTCGGCAGACTTCCAGCTGTTGTGGCTGCAGAATTCTGCAAAGCCCAGAAGGATCTTCTTATGGGGACCTGCTGGGCCAGACACTGTCCAGGCTTCCAAGGACCCAGAGTGTGTTCTCCGGAGGATGACTCCTGTCAGGCCAGCTCATGAGCAACTTCTAGCACAGGCATTCCCATAATGTATGCTAGAGCGACCAGGAATCCGTGTGAGCAGACAGACCTGGGCCCTGCCTTCTCGGAGCTCTGGCTTCAGCAGGAAATCAGAGGCATAATGACTAAACGCTGTTGAGCAAGTACTATGTGCAGACACTGGTCTGGATACTCTCATGCTCAGAGTTTGCTTGTCCGTGAAAGAGGGCACAACTCTGCGAAGACGGCACTACCTCTAGTCCCATATTACAGATGAGGAAGCTGGGCATAGAGTGGTTAAGTAGGACTTGTCCATTACTTAACACAGCTAGGCTCCAGGTTAGAAAGGATGAGAAGTGCTGTGATGGGGGAGCACAGAGCAGCTGCCTCCTCTGGGGGTGAGGTTGCCTCCTCCAGGAAGGCCATCTAGTTTCTAGCAGCCCAAGGACTCCTACAGAGCAAGAGGGCAAGTTCCTGGAGGGCAGGATGTGCAGGCTGGCTTTACTAGCAAATTATGTTCCTTTCTCAGTTCCATTTCTTCATTCGTTCTTGGAACACGTATTTACTGAGCATTTCCTGTGTACTGGGCTCTGTATTTGGACCCTATGAACAAGACAGACATGGTTCCTGCCTCAGAAAGCCCACGTTTTTTTAGGAGGAGATACAGACGGGGCCAGTTTTGTGGCTACTGGTTCCGTGCAGTCACACAGGGTCCCACGCTCAGCCGAGTCCCACACTTGGTTCAGGGCTCTGCTGTCACGGGCCTGAAATTCTTAATAATTTTTGAGCAGGGAGTCCCGCATTTTCATTTTGCACTAGGCCCTGCAAATTGTGAAGTGGTCCTGGACATAGACTGTCCTGGGGGCAGGGGCAGGGAGAAGAGTGCTTGGGCAGAGCGAACTGCAAGTTCACTGGCCTGAAGGCTGGACCACGTCTGGCTGATGGTGGGGGCGGGAGCGATTAGGGGGAATCCCAAAGGGCCAGGGCAGAGGGGCTGGGAGGCAGGGGTGAGGCTGTCAGATGAGCAGATCCCAGGAGGTGACAGCCCTGTGGGCATCAGCAAGAAGTGGGCTTGGTCCTAACCCTGAACCTCTGTCCTGGGTCCCCAGGGTCCCTTAGGGCAGCTCTCTGGGAGCTGGGCCAGCAGCAGACAGGAGGTCCAGACCAGCAAAGCTCAGAAAGAACTTTAAAAATATCTCTAAATCTATTTATTGATGAGGTAATGTAGGCATGCAGCACAGCATCCAGAAGCAGAAATGAGAAATCAGGGAGAAGGAAGCCCCTTCCAGCCCCCTCCAGCCCCAGTCCCTTCCACCAGGTCACCTAGTTTCCCTTACACCTTCCAGAGCTATTCTGTGCACATACAAGCAAGTACTGCACACAAAAGTATTTCTATATTTTAACATATATTTTACATAAACTCTGTAGTATGCACATCCTTCTGCACCTAATGTTCTCATTTTGCAGTCAAACATGGAGCTCATGAAAAGTTCTTTCAAAGTCATTTAACTGTACAGATGGAGACACTGCGGCCCAGGCTGTCACCCAGCAAGTGAGTGCTCCCCAAGACCCCCATGGCCTCTCTCTTGTTGTAATCACAGTCAAAGCTCTGCCCCGTGAAGGGGGTACTGTAACGATCCCCATTTCCACATGAAGCTCAGAGAGGTGCAGCCACTGTCCCAGGGTCACACAGCGGAATCAGGATTGGAACCCATGAAGTCATACTGCCTCCCAGGTGCAGGCTCACGTTCCCAGGGGTGCTCCACACATACTCAAAAGCTCCCTGATGGCAGATGGGGAAGCCCCCAACTCCAGAGGGTGAGAATTAGGCAAAGGACTCTGCCAAGGCCTGAAAGAGCCACCAGGATGGAACTGGTGGGAATCCCAGCTAGGTCTGGAGGGTGGG